CCTTCCGCCCCCCCCCATTCTTTGGACCCCTCCGCCCCTTCCCACTCTATTTCCTCCCCCGGCCCCGGGCAGTGGGGGCCTTGGGCGGATTTACGGGCCGCTTCTGCCCCACCCTCGCAGGCTGTCCATCACGTGGACGTTGGAGACGGCCTGCCCTCCTACGATGACCTTCCCGCGGCTTGGCGGCTCCATCACCCTCGCCGTGGGCTCGATACAGAGGAGCCCTTGCACAGCAGGCAGCCCGACCCTGTGCCATCTGCCGGGCCCCATCCCCAGCATGACGACCCCGCCCTCGATTTGTAGTGGGGCCTCGAAGGGTGCTCTTTGGCCCCCGAGGACGACCCCCAGCGGCCCGTGGCGGTCGTTAGGCGGGTGCGAACTGTGACGGATGAGGTCACCTTCCGGAGGGATTAGTTGCCGAGGGGTTGTGGGGTAGTGGACAGGGACAATAGGATGTCGGCGGGCGTACGGGTCCTTTGGTCCCCAAGTCATTTTAGGATGTTTTTGTTTGAACATTTTTGCAACTTTTTGTTGTATAGGATGTCGGCGGGCGTACGGGTCCTTTGGTCCCCAAGTCATTTTAGGATGTTTTTGTTTGAACATTTTTGCAACTTTTTGTTGTATGAACATTTTTTGTAACTTTTTGTTGTTTCAACATTTTTGTAAATTTTTGTTACTTCTGGCGTTGTGTGCGGTGGTTTCAAAGATATGGTAATCGTCACCCGTGGAGGCCTCCCACACATCCCATCCAACAGCGCGCGCTGCAAATCACTGGTATGTTTCCAGACTTTGTCCACCTTCACCATCCCCCGCTTGTCAGTCCAGGAGGCCTGAATACCACTGGTATTCCCAGGTATTATACCAGGCGTCGTGTGGTGTAAATGGACCCTGGAGATTTTTGTGCGGTTCCGCCATCGCGGAACCGCACCAGCCGGTCCCAGGCTGGATATGGACCTTAGAGTGTTTGTGCGCTTCCGCGATGATGCTATCTCCATATTGCGGTTCCTCCATCGCGGAACCGCACTGTCTCCAAAATGCCTCCAAACCTCTTATTTGTCCCTTGTATCCCAAGCCAACCTAATATGTACTATATTGCAGAATTGTCAAAGCACAACTCATATGATATTGGTAGGATGTCAAAGTCAGGAAACACACGTTTGAACCCCATTTTTCACCACATGTAATGGGACATTTTGAACGGAAGGGAGTTAATACACTCTCCTGCTTTTGTTCTTTGTGTTGTTCTGGGGCTCCCTCTTATAGTGCCTACAATATTGGTGGAAAAGGAGGGGTTTTGCCTCATTAATTTGTAATGCCATCTTACACACACACACACACCCTCCCCCCCTCCTCTTAGCGTCAATCCTTATGTCGATGCAAGGGTGACTCAACAATATTATGTGACAATGATATGCAATTTCTAGGTGGTTTTGAAGATAAAAATAATCAAAATTGTGCGAGCACAATTGATTATTTAGATTCCCATTTCTGAATTCAATAAAATGAGCCTCATTTTATTGAATTCAGAAATGGGAATCTAAATAGCATTATAGGCGAGGCGGACAACCTTAATTTTTGTAGATTGATTCATTTTAGGCCCTTTCGGATCAACGAACACTTGCAAGTTGCTTAAGAACAAGTCATGAGTTGTTTCTAACTGATCCACGGCCTTTTGGGGTATCTTTCCTCCTTATGTCGATTTTGTTGCAATGACACAATCTCTTAGCTTCACAGGTCTAACCCCCCCACCCCACCCCCAAGCGTCAATTTGATGCCAAGTGTTATTGTTCGGGGCACCAATAAATGGAGCCAATCTAAACGAATAGATGGTTGCCATGCCACATGAATCTTTATGCGAATACTGCCAAGTTGGTTCCCGGTGAGGCCCAGGATTCCAGGCCGGAATGGCCTCGGTCGAAAGGTTGCAAACAGACCGGAGGTATATCCCTCAAGCAACTCGCCAAGAGGCCGCAGGGAACCCACAAGGGCCGTCAGGGCCCCGGACGTACGCCAACAAAGGGACAGCTGCCACGCAATCCGGCCCAGCTATTCACCCACTGCGCGGTAAGCACTCAGGAGGCACCATGACCCGTGAGGCCCGCAGTAACGCAATCGACAGGGTGTCTTCCCCAACAGCAACACAGTGTGACCAACCACCACCTCGCGCAGCAATACTTTGCGACAATGGCCTCGGTTTCTTGGGCCCGGTGCCCTTCCCCCCCAATTGGGTCACCCCCAGTCCGCCCTACAACCCCCAAGGGTCCATGCAGCCGGATCAGCGCCGGCTGATCCGCCGCGCCCCGGCCGCGAGCGCCCACCGGCCGTGCGGCCCCGGCACGCTGCGTCACAGAAACACGGGGCTGCCGGCTGTCGCACTGGAGCGGCCGCGTCAGCCCTGCGCCTGCCAATTTGGTCCACAGCCCCGCACGATCCCCACCAGCACCGCGAAGCAGTCCTCACCCCCCCGGGCGCCAACGGCTGGCCCACCCAGCGGCAGTGGCCGGCACCCAGGCACAAAGGTGCGGCCAGCCATGGCGGGCGAGCCGTGGAGCGCGCCGGTGCCGCCGGCGGCGCAGGGCGGGTGCGCATCGTGGGAGCGGACGGAGTGCGAGTACAGCACGTCGTCCCCGCCGCAGCAGCGGGGCCCGGCGGGATCGCCGCCGGACGGTAGGGTCAAGGTGGCGAGTGCGCTGACGGCGGCGGTGCGCAACATGCCGGTGGAGGGGATCTGTGAGGGCGGGTCCCCCGGGGCGAAGAGGGCCGGGGAGGTGAAGAGGAAAAGCGGCCCATTGGGAGGAAAGGTGGGCAACATAGATTTCGCCTTTTTTTGACCTCCGGGGTTTTGGGGCGTGGCGCAGGGAGGGGCATGGGGTTCGGACAAGGGGCGTGGAGTCGTTGTGAGGACCTCGGACGCGCCGCTGGTGGCCGGCCGTGTGGATTTTCGCGTGCCGCGCCGCGCTGGGATGGGATGGGGAGGATTGGTGGCGGGCGGGATGGGCGAAAAAGCCGACAGCGTGGCATGCGCCCCGGATTGGGCGGATTGTTAGGGTTTTGGCCACGGGGGCGCGGCCGGCCGCGGCGGAGGCGCCCGGTCGGTGTCGCTGGTGAGGGCCCCCGGCGCGTGCCGACGGATGGGCTCGCCCTCCTTGGCGATGCGGTTGATGTGGGCGCGATGGTGCGACCGTGGAGCGCTGGATCAGGGCGGATCAGCGCAGATGGCGCTGTGAGGCCCCGCCGCTGGGATTCGCGGGCGACCTCCGCTCGAGGAAAGCCCGTTGTCTGATCCTGTACGAGTTGGAGATCAAGCGCTTCCATCGGAGGAACGGGGCGTTTCCGACAAAGCCGCCCCGTCCGAAAACGATCCGGCGCAGGGACACCGTGGCCCGCCGCGCCCCCCCTCACCTTGGACTCGCAGGTGGCGAGTGCCCTGCGGCTGCCCTCTGGGGTGCAAGTGCCTCACCCAGGGCCTTGCTGGTGTGCGGTCGTGGTGCTTCGGTAGTGTGCGGTCGCTGTGGGCCGTGGTGCTGCCGCGCCGACTGTGGGCCTCTGCGTTTCCAGGGGCCAGAAGTCTGTTCCGGCGTTGCGTGGATTTGCGCTCCCCTTGCGCCCAATGTCTGGCTCGCGGATGGTGCGCCCAAGGACACCCGCATCCGCGGCAGGCCTTCCCGTTTCAAAGACGCCAGCGTGCGTTTAATCGTGAGCGCTCGAACCGATCGTCGATGAACGCGAAGCGCGGTGCCGTCCCTGTTGGTAAACTCTCCGGTGGTGGTGTTGTGTTGAGAGCGCCAGCGCTTGTCGAGCACCCGTTGGTGCCGCCCCGGCCGCTTGCGGCTTGGCCTCACGTCGTCGTTCGTGTGGGCCATTTTGAAGTGTTCCACGGCGGCGTTGCGCAAACTGTGGGTGCCTGGCTCGCAGGCGGAGCCCAGCGAACCCTTGATACCGACGGGAGAGCCCCCTCCGGTCGTCGTGGCCAAGGGGAAGAACAAGACGTACCGCGGCGTGAGGCAGAGGCCGTGGGGAAAGTGGGCTGCGGAGATACGGGATCCATGCAAGGGCACGAGGAGGTAACGAGGCAGTCACCAGACGTCGAGTGAGCGAGGGAGTTGCCCGCCTTCTGTTTGGGAAACTCACCCACAGCGTTCCTGGTCGTGATCTGTGCCTCTTCAGTTCGGATTGACTTCCCCTGGATGTGTGAGATGTCGTGAGTCACGGGGCGTCCCGCTGCCTTGCTGGCCATCTTGCCGGGAAAGGGGCATCGCGAGGTTCGCGCGCCGCCGGCGCTTGGCCGACAGGTGGATCGATCGACCTCTCACACCTTCTCCTGCCGGTTGCCCGACAGGTGGCTCGGAACGTTCGACACCGCCGAGGAGGCGGCCCGGGCGTACGACAAGGCCGCGCGGGAGATCCGCGGACCGACGGCGCGGTGCAATTTTCCGCCGCGGGCGGGCGACGAGGCCGTGCCCGTCCAGGCGCCTGCCCTGCCGCCCGTGCAGGGCCCGCCGACGCCGGGCAAGGAAGAGAAGACAACAGACGGTGAGGGGCGCGCGGGACCAGCCGCGTCCGCGATCGGGTGCCGCTCGACATTTCCTTCCCTAATCAATCCCCTGCCAAGTCCATGTTTGCTCCATTTGCGTTCTGCTAAGGTCTGTTCAAGGTCTGTTGTCGTGCTGAAAATCTTTAGTGAAGTACTCCCAGAGGTAGAGGCGTGTGGCTTATGTGTGCTGTTGCAACCACGCAGAAGAGACCGTGAAGGAGGCAGGAGAGTCTGACAAGGTCGAGGAGCCGGTGTTGAAGCCGAAACCGGAACCACAGCCAGCGAATGCAGGAGTGCCAGGGGTAATTACAGATGTGATGAAAGTCGGTGGGATAAAGAAGCTTGGCAGACGGCCTGGAAGGCCTGGACTTGGACGAGGGCGAAGGAAACGTGTGGGGGGGAGGAGGAAGAAGTCAGGTACGGTCTGCAGGAGATTCGATGGAATGTTGTGCATACAATAGAAAAATTGTGCTTTGGTGTGGGCAGCCTTTTTTGAAAGATTGTTGGTAGGTTTTGCAGAGGTCCAACCCATCCTCACAAAGCTTGGCAGCCCTATCTGATGATGCCATGCTGCTTGAGTTACTTTCCTTCTTGTTGTACAGAATTCTTCTGTGAAGACTTGATCCCCGAGAGTTTGCTGGGGGGTGACGCCAGTGGCTTTACTGGCGTCATGTTCGTTTCAAGCACTGCACATGTGTTGCGGGACACCACTCCAGAGCCAGAGATGGTAAGCCACAGCAGGTCGTGCATGTTTGTGCCTTTCTGCCCCTGGCTTGACTTTCCCGTAGCAGCAGGCGATGATTTGCATATGTTGTAAATGCTTCCACACAATGAGCACCAAATGCAGCCTGAATGCAACAGCGCTGTGGTGATTCCTAACTCTGTGGTTTGATTTTCAATTGAACAAAGTGTGCTGCACTTTTGGAACATCCAAAGTTGCGAGCTGTGCCAAGCAACATCTGGACCTTGCTTCTGACCGATTGTTTCATAGTTGGCCAAGCGGTATCCTTTGGCGGTTGCCTGACACTGTGATTCTGTGGCTGCAGCCGCCGCAGGTGCGCTCGAAAGAGGGGTTTCAGATCCCCAAGTGGCAAGCTCATACCCCGACAAAGGTGCGGCACATGGATGCTGCCTCGCAGGGCAAGTCCCTGGACAGCCTCACGGATTTGTGTTTCTCGCTGATGAGCATGGACATCGAGGCCTGCCAGTCGCACAAGAGCGAGTTCGAGGGCTGGTTCTTCAACAAGTCGCCCAACGGCCTGTCACGAACCCCTCCTCGGCCGCGTTCCAGTCTTGGCAAATCTGTAGGCAGGAGCCCGTCTTCGTGCAAGATGTGCATGACCCCTCCGACAGGAATGTCGCCGTCAGCGTGGACACAGCAGCACCAGCAAGGGCACAGAGACACAGAAGAGGACGGGAAGGTGGAACTTATCTTCGGCGCTCCAGAAGATGTGGTTGTGATGGGGCTTCAGTCTGCGATGCGGGAGCGCTATGTGTCTGACAAAGAAACGGACAAGGAGGAGGATGGTGGCAGGCTGCGGGTTGCGATGGAGACCCTGGAACTGGAAGCCAGTGCTGTGGGCTTGGGCTCGGCTTCGAAGGAGCACACGATTCAGGAGGGCTCCTCGCACGGGCGTGAGTCTGAATGTGGATTGGAAGGCCTGGGGGGCGACCTATGGCGGAAAGTTATGAGGGAGGTCGATTTTTTCAAGCCGTGGGCGATCAGCCCCGGCTTGTCATCTGGTGTGTCGGCATGAAGTCGGCTGGCATGAGCTGATACTGTTCTGTTGCGGAGCGCAGCCGAGGAGAGGATATTCAGTGTTTGTTGGTCTTAGGATGCAAGGATTTGAGTTTGAGGGCATGGAAGGAGCGCTTTTCTGAAGAAGATTGCGCACAGGTTCACACACAAGTTGTTTTAAATTATTTAGCGGTTATGGAGGGCAGATAGCTGGACTTCGTTGAGTTGTTCCGTAGCTGTGTTTGGAGTGGTGTGCCCAAAATAATGTGCAGCAAGTTGCAGGGGAGACTCTGGGGCTCCTGGATCTCTGGGGATCGTGGGTTTCTTTTGAGCGATTTTTTTTCTTCTGATGACCTGGACAACGCGGCTTGGAACGATACAAGAATGGAGTTTTGTTTCATTTCCGGAGTGCGTGGATTCTGTCCACCTTGGACGCCATTGATATCGCCTTGGATGCTGGGAGAAAGAACTTGTTGGTCGCTGGGAGGTGATGGGGTGCTGGACATGTCGAAGTCGCCTTTTGAATACTGGGACACGAACACGTTGTTGCTGGGATGCACCCAGACGTTGGACATGTTGCTCGACAGCATATGCTTTGTGAGCTTGGACAGGCAAGCACCTAGGCGTGCAGTCGTCAACTGTACATATGGACTGTTGTGTGAGCACCCGGCCCATAGTGACATGGGCAGCAGACGGGCGACACAGCGCCAAACAGATGCTTGTAAGGGACAAGGGCTGAGCAGGAGTCATGCAGGGGTAGAAACCACCATACCCCAAACTGTGGTCTCACATCGCATCACATTGTGCTCCATTTCTTCTGCCAGTGCGTAGAGACAGTTGACTGCTCCAACAGTCCGTCATGGCCAGCACCATTTTAGACGCCCGTCCCGGCATTGAACTACCACGGGCAGTTCAGCCGTTGCTTGAACCGTTCAATGCCGTAGAGTGGCCCGTGTCTCCGCTCATCACATGAACGCTACAAAGTGAAGCGACCTTGCGTTGGGCATTTTCGCTTCCATGCGGTCTCCCACGAGGGTGCGCTGTGCATAGTCAAGGTCCCTCGCGTGGGGTCCAACCTTGCACACCGGGGTATTGAGACCTGCCCGCCTCCTGTCGTCTCCAGAGAAAGACAAGATAAAGAGCACGGTGCCCAACAACCATAACGGCCGCAGCCGTTGGGCGGAAAACCACAAGACGTCGTCAGTGCCCACGCAATCGCCTTCCAGTGCATTGGACGCCAGCGTTCCTCGGGCCCCCATCGAGCTGAAAAGCCCATGAAAACCGGTCAGCTGGCATGGACAACCGCCTTGCCCGTGCGTACAGGTGTTACGCCTTCCACATGTAAGCGGGCATGCGTACAAGGCGCTTCCGCGCGTCGTCGTACGCCTCGTGGATCACTATGCGCCGTTGATCGCCCCACTCGTCGGCCTCATGCACCTCCGTAATGCCCACCCCTTGATACAACTCCCTGTCGCCAAAAGCAAGCACACGGTTGGTGGCTATAGCTGATCGGATGGATAAAGTCTCCACATACTATGTGCTGTTAACACCTGCCTTCGCCCTGTGCTTGTGAATCCCAAATATGCCCATAGCCTGGATCTCAACTCCCACATGTGGCCAACGTTATCCAGCACAAATGATGAGGCAGAGGCTGGAGGCCAAAGCCCCCATATCACGGGCTAAGGCAGCAAAAGACACTCTTCAGCTACTGTGAAGGCTGTTGCAGAGACGGGATGCAGCAATTCCGGGCGTTCACGAAGGCAACCAGCCATTTCGGCTTGCGTTGTGGCAATTGCTGATCATGTAAACAGTTCCAAATTTGTTTTGTGTTGGTTTATCGCACTGTCGCAACAATTCCTACTTACACATCGAAAGGCTTGCGACCTTTAATCAGCAGAGCCGCAAATCACTTGCTCTTGAGTTCTCATTGTTCATGTGTGGATTACTGTGGACGCTTCCCTCTATACTTGCAATCGCTATTCTGAAGCTATCACTCGCTCTCGTGCGTCTGTCCTGCGCTGACCAGGGGCTCCTGCCAGGCTTGTTATTATTTATGTTTTCAAGTCCTTTGTTTGCTTTTTACGTTTTTATGCGTGACAACGCGTAAACAGATAAATGGCCCTTCTACCGCCATATTTACGCATTTTTCAGCGCATCAACACACCCAGGTTAAGAAATGAAGTCGCAAACAATGATCAGTCCGCCGCCCATTTGGGCACCCGCAACACAGCATCCACCTTGCCCTCGGCAAGGGCAACGACGTCGTCGTACTAAAGGTCATCCTCTGCCTACTCCAGCGAGTCTGGCTGCCACTCCCCGGACTCCCCGATTCTGTATGTACTGGCTGTATGTACACAGTGCTCATGCTCACGCATTTCTGGGCCATTAAGCGCATAAACATAAACACCATTTTCGCGCACAAATACGCATAAGTATGCGTGAATCCACGGTATTTGTAAACGACAAGATTGGCTCCTGCTACAGTGGTACAGTTCAGCACAGTACAATAGGTCTTGGGTCCTTCGTTACTTTGCATAAAACAACATATCCAATAGCACTGGGGCAAGCACAGAGAGCCAATCGCCACTCGCCATCGGCACAAATTCAATGACCACAGAGTCAACAATCGAAGCAGACATCACCAACGGCTGCGACTGTAGGTGGGAATGAATCGGACATCTGGTGATATCCAACACCCAGGGAATCCCTTCCAACCCACATCGAGCGCAGCACCGCGGCCACTGTATGTATCCTTATAATACAGCGGCAACCCCAAAATCGCCTGAAAGGTGAAGCTACCACATTGTTGTTTCATTCTTTCCGTGTTCCACATGGCTGGTGCGTGGGAGAGAAACTCATCACCTTATGGTATCGCCGTAACCCAGTTTCAGCCATCGTTCTATTCACAATGTGAACAATAGCATGAATTTCGCATTTCCATTCATCATAATTCATCGTGTTTCCAACGGGCGATCTCACCGAATCTTGTCGCACGTCAAGTATGCAATCCAATACCCCCCACCCCCCTCCATCGCAAGGGAGGGATTGGATTGATGATGCCTTCTAAAGGTGCCCACGAACAGCATGCTGCTCTCGCTTACTGCTTACCTGTAAGCATCCCTTGATCTCCTGGTGTGCTCCTCCACTTGGGATGGAGTGCGTTCGGTGGAGCAAATTGGGGCTTCAGCGTATGCCCAGATCCATTTGTCAACCCCAGTAACACCAATCAACTCATAGTTGCCTGTTCGTGGGCACGCACATGGTCAGCAAGCTGTGTCAGTACAGTTTGGCATAAGCAGCCCACAGCTGTCAACAGCTCCTGCCTGTAACAATTTCGACTTGCTCAAAAACACGCAAATACAAGTCCGGTGTGCACACAGACAGTACATGAAGGAAAACGAGTAAAACGCGCTTGTTTTACGTGTATAAGAGTTAACGATGCTTTCCCACGTAAGTACGCGTAATTGCGCCGTGTTTACGTCGCAAAGACCAAGCATGCCAATCAGCCGAAAGCCTGGGGATTGCCTAGTGCAGACACCTGCTGTGCCTAAGTTGGTGGCAACAGGTAGATGCTGCACAGGAGCAGCTGCACATTTCTTACAATACAATGCTTGCAAATTATATCTCTCAGTAGCAGGAGGAGTCGCAGAGCCCTGCTTTGGAGGAACGGACTGCGCAGGCGGGGACGGCATCAACGATGTAGAGCTCCTTGCCAGGATTCACGTTCAGTGAGAAACACGACATCACCCTGCGAATCATGGACACAAAACTTTGAGCAGCCCTGCGCAGCCTTTGTTGAGGTAAGCGGATAATAATCTACAGCATATGGCACGGAGCAAAAGACACGCTGCAACCTAAATTGTGCATTCATGAGCTCGAGTGAGGGCTTGCTGTATGGTCCATGGTCAGGCGGGGGCCGACGAATGTTCACTGGCAGAAAAGTCAAACGCTGTGCAAGGAGTACCACGTGTTGAGCAGTTGCCCAACACAACGATTCCCAGAGACCAATCCTGTACTGTGTTCAACACTGACACAAGACAAGGACCATAAGTGGTATTGAGATCCATTTATGCTCTCTTTTCTTTTCTGAGCAGCATCACATCTGTCAGCCAATCCTTCCTCCGAAGGCAGCCAGACTCGCCACATTCGGTATCTTATTCTCTCACTTCATGGTCTTGAGTTTCCGCCCAGACTCATCAAAGAACTTCTTGAGACGACCAGCATAAACCATTAGAGGATGGGCTCTTGTGGTCACTTTCTTCGCCTGTTTGATGGTGATAAAGGGGTCACTCCTGGGACTGAACTCAAGAACCCTCCCGTCCATTTCCTCAGTCACCAAATATAGCCATCCCGTTTTGCCTCGTAGCTTCATGTGCCAGGCACCTGAGCCACACAAGCAGGGGCTAACTTTGGCACTTTGCCAAGCAGAATAGGTAGAATAGGTATTTGCTGTCTTTACTGTCGCAAGCAGCTCCCATTCCGACCCGTACGTTGGGGTTACCCGCTGGCTGCCCATCTGGACATGGACATCGCATTGCGCCAAAAGAAATTACTGGGGTGGGTCTTGTAAAAGGCTTTCAGTCTTGTCACAAAGGAACACTGGTGGTAGGGAAGCTTTCCATATCTGATTAAGCTGGAGTTTAGAAACACTCAAACGTCAGAAACAACTGTTTGAATATTGAGCGCAATGCCATTCGTAGTATCTCAGCTGTCACACTCTACAGCTTTCAGTTGGTATTCCGCTGACATTCGATTGACTGCCCCAGCTCACAAGATACATTTCTTTCTTATCTGGGTGGGACAAAAAATGCGAGCACATGGAAGGCCAACACCTCGACAGATGGCAACAACAAAATTTTGTGGCAATTGCCACTTAGCAAGAACCGCAGCAGCGACCAAGACCTCCTGTAGCGCCCAGCTACACAAACCAAAAAAATGCAACTAGAAAACAAACAAAGATGCAATTAGAAACAAGCTCGCCTTCGTACACCGCTGCAACTTTTGCAAGCATCGAAAACG